GTATTTGAATTAGCTGTGTTGTATCTTTAGTCTCCTTTAATCTGAAACAGTTCTTTCGTCTTTCCTTAATATATTCTTAACACAACACTCAGTGTTAGATACACACCAGAAGAAACTCTGAGTCTTCCTATTGTAGGTGACACTGTTACTGACGTCTGGTCGGTAGGTGGCGCTAGAGCATAGTTTCATTACTAACCTTCCACCTACATCAGGTAAGCGTTTTGCATATAAGGAAACTGAAACACAGAACAGTTAAAGTCAGTTGTCCAAGGTAAACACAGGTAGCAAAAGGCTTATATATCCTGTGTATTTTATTGCTGTAATAATGATTCATCTTTTACGCGCACAGAGAGGTTCACAGGTTACTGGCTGTCTGCAGAGCTGGTGGGACAGACACCATCCTCCTTGTCTTACAGATGACTGCCTCGGCACTGAGAGTGGTTAGTTCAGCCCAGTTTGTAAAAGGACGAGAAAGGCCAGCGCAGGACTTTTAATGTCCCAGTGAGAAAACCTGGCATGGGTCACGAAGGAGATATGGATCCCCCTTCATGAGTGTTTTCTGTTCAAATGGCCTTGTCTGTTGAGAGAGAGAAAAATCGTAGCGGGTAGTAGTCTGGCAGCAAGATGGGACTCTGCCCCAATTTGCACACCAGCCACAGAGGTGGTCCAGTTTGGTGGTCCAGCTTGGTCGCCCCTCTCACCGGGCAGGCTGAACTCTGAGGCACGCCCTCCTCCAGGGGCCTGTGGCTCCAGGTCCAGTGGCCGGGGCACCTTGCCTGTGAGAGTACAACCGTGCTCCTAGGGTTAAGAATAACTACTTAGGCCCTCCCTGGTGGCGCAGCGGGTTAAAGCACAGTACAAAGAAGCTAAAGCCACTTCCGCATGAGTTGGATCCCCGCCTGCCCTGGAGGTGACCACATGGTGTGGCAGACCTCTCCTGACCCGCCCGCTGCTCCCCTCAGCAGTGTATTTCGTTGACCTGCCTGTTCTGCACTCCACTCTGTCTCTGGTGAATTCTCTCACCCTCCACATCTCTGGCCTGTACGAATAAATTTAAAAAAATTAAAAAAAAAAAAGAATAACTACTTAGATGAACTCTTTGAAAATTAAGTAGAAAATGCTGGTCAGCCGCCCAGCCCAGAGCAGGTGTTTAAATATGTGACAGCCCAGAGCAGGTGTTTAAATATGTGAAAGTCTCTCCTTCACCTACATCCCTCCTGCCATCATCATTGAAGGCCTCACTGTATCCGTGTGAAAAATATAACAGGTGAAATGAAGAGCACACACACACACATATTTAATATCTATATCTGTATCTATTTGACAGCTGAAGTGAAAGCAGGACATTTAGATTATAGCTGAATATGAAAATGTATTAGTAAATGCTGAAAGGGACTCTTTAATAAAGAGATAGAAAATAAAACTACAAGGTATATAAGAGAAATAAAAGTGCCAACACTTTTGTTCAGAGAAGCAAAAAGATCATTGCACACCTAAGCACTGAGAGGAAGAACTAAGGGACGTCACTCTCCCAGCAGTCAAGAAAGGCCAGCGACCCTGGGAAGGCAAGGGGAAGGACAGACTGGGTCTGGAGGGGCAGGGCTGGGCCAGGGCAGGTGGCTCTGCAGGGTCTGGAGGGCCCTGTTGGGGGCTGCTTGTTTGTGGGGGTGGGGGCGCTGCCTTATTTGTATTGTTAGAATCGACATAGCGTGCATTTCACTCTGTCTGATGGGGAAGATTGTTGCAAAGCAGACGTACAGAGCTAGCCCTTATATCTTGGGTTTGTTTTCTGCAACTCTAAGTCCATTGTCTAAATCTGTCCTATATCTGCCTTTCATTTTCTCAATGGAGTTTGTGGCACAAGAAGAGTCTGTGGTGGAGACTTGACGAGGTTTACTTGACGGTGCTCTTGGGGTCCACACGTGAGGATGGGAGGGAAAGGACACACATGCCCAATGTCGAAAATGAAAAGGAACATTACTTCAAGTTCCCATGTATTAAAAAGACTAGAAGAAGATATTAGGATAACTTTATGTTGCTATGTTTGACAACTTAGATGAAGTGGAAAAAATCCTTAAAAAGTACAGAGTTCTAAAACTGAGACTAGCAAAAAGAGAACATTTAAATAATCTCTATCTGCAAAGAAATTGAATGCATACTTTGCATGTCTCCAACAGAGAAAACGCATAACTAAACCTCTCTACAAAGCTACCCCGTGTGACCTTCACAAACACCTGGCCTCCCCAAAACCTCATGGACCCACTCACTGCCTCAAAAAGGTGGAGTGGGGAATGGGACCAAAAACGGGGGGGGGGGGGGGGGGGAAGGGAGGGAAATGCACGGGACTATGGTGGTGGCACAGGGGTGATTTGGTGATGGGAAACCCATGGGGATTACAATTGAGATGAAAAAAAATGTGCAAAATGATGTAAAAATAAACTTTTTAATAAAAAAAAAAAAGGCTCTCATTTCTCGCTCCCCAGCTCTTCCCAAATTCCAACATCCCTCTCCCTCTTCATCCATGGGCCCAGGCCCCTGGCCTCCTCTGTCCAAAAGGAGGTGACACACACCTTCCAGTGGCTTGTTTATTCAAACAGCTGGTCACCAACCCTTCAGGTCCAATCCTTATATACTCTCTCTAAGATCTCCTCAGCCATGGTGCTGTCTCTCCCCTACCCGCTTCCAGAGGTCAATTGCTCCAGACTCAAAGTCTCTTTCCAAACAAAACAAGGCTGATCCAATCATCTTTTCCCCTTGGAAAAGGGAGACTCTTCTCCCATTAAATGCCTTGACTCTTTAGCCAAAAATTGAAGGTAAAATCTGTCATGACTCAAAACGCAAGGCAAGTGAAGTGGGTAAAGTGAGGTGTGTGTTTAATACCAAAGAAATGTACTGGGAATATGTATTTTGAAGGACTTGAAAAGAAAGGTAGGAAGACAAAGAAAGTGTTGAGATTAATAAGAAGGTAAAAGAAAGTGTTGAAGTTCTGAGAGAGTTAAAAATGTTATGTGCTGGAATGACTTGCTAAGCGTAAACCCAAACTTGAACTTTCTCATCTACAGTAAGACCACAAATGAACTGTTTGAATGTTTTTGAAACCTGGCCAGGATTTTTGACTCTGGTCAGGAAACTTAAAGACCATTTTACATGTTTGGAAATTTTAGTCTTGTTTACTGGCTCATAAGTTTGTGCCTTCCTTAACAGTTAAAGCCAGCTGTACTTCATTCCTTTCCAACCTCCTCCAAGACCTTTCTCAACTGCTTCTGTTCTTAAATCCCACCCAAACTGGGCCCTCCCTGGTGGCACAGTGGGTTAAAGCACTGCACTAAGAAGCTAAAGCCACTTCCTTATAAGTTCGATCCCTGCTGCCCCAGAGGTGACCACATGGTGCGGCAGACCCATCCTGACTCGCCCACTGCTCCCTTCAAAAGTGTACTTTGACCATCTGCCTGTTCTGCTCCCCACTCTATCTCTGGTGAATCCTCTCTGCACCTTGGGCCTGTACCCCAGTTCTGTATGCATTAATAAATTAATCTTTAAAAAAAAAAACCAAAAAACCCACCCAAACCCTGGAACTGCTCAGAGACCTCTGGCTCCAAAAAAACTTTCTGTGGTTGAATTCTATGCCTTTTGCATCTTACTTTTACTTTTCTCTTTCATTCCTCTAACCCTTCCCAAGATATAAATTCCAAGTTGCACACAGGAGAAAGGACTTTTGATGCATGCACCACTATCCAGTCCAGCTCATCTCCCTCTGGGCCCAATGGACTCATGCAGCAGCCCGTCCTGGGAGTAGATCTACACCACAGACATAACGAACTATGCTCCTATCCCCAAGAAAACATACTCTGACTGCGGCTACTGATAAGTGCTCCTGTAAACCGTGATGACCACAGCGCTGCCAACCTGCTTGGGCTGCACCCCTACTCACTCCTCCCCTCCAATGAACCTGGCCATAAACCTTGCTTTTTGGCCTCATTTTCCCCACATCGCCCCATGTCAGCAGGAAGTAGCCAGAAAGAAGGCTTTGCCCCTTATCCTATAATTCAGAGGTTCAAATGTAAGGTCAAGGTGGTCAGGGCAAGGCTGGGAGCAGAAACCTTGAATTGGAGGCTGTTACTGTGGGAGCCTCCTAACCTTAAGCTTCCTGAGTTCTGGAAACTGCCTGCATTCTGGGAACTGAAAAGCATCATTGATGAATCAGTTTCTGAAAAGCCATTTCCATGCCCTATAAAAGCTAACCGTGTTCCCCAATGGGTGTGACTTCTCCAACCCCCATGGGGGTCAGTAAACCTTGCCAAGTGCAATAAAGTTCCTGCCTCTTAGAAATTTTGCCTGGATCTCTCTATCTCTGAACTCTTAAATGTTTGGATTTTACCAAACATTTAAGGAAGAAGTAATTCCAATAGTTTTTACACAAACACTTGCAGAGAGTAACAGAAAAGGGAATACTTTCCAACACATTTTTGGGGATCATACCTGACCAGGACATTGCAAAAAAGGAAGTTACAGGACAGCATCTCTTGTGAAGATAGATACAAAAATCCCACAAAAATTCAATTATTTATTAAATTGACTGTAATCAAGAAGTCATTTTATTTCAATGGATGTATAGGTTGGTTTAAGGTAAGACAGTGATTGAATGAAACTCATCAAGTCAATAGAATAATGAAGGGAGCTATAGGGTCACCTCACCATATAAGGGATGGGATTTGATAAAATTTAAATCAGTATATAATAGGCACATTAAAAAATGAAGGGAAAAAAGCCCCTACAGCTAATGTTATACTTCAGTGTGAGATATATAGACAATTTCCAGAAAACAGTTACAAAGTCTAAAAGCTGAAATGTTCGCTAATTACCATGGCAATATGTCTTATGTCTATAATCAAATTTCTAAGCGCATCCCCTGGGGTAGCCTCCGAATTCCATGCAGATCATCTTTGTCTCCTGAAAGAAGAGTGGTAGATCAGGCAGAGGCCCGCTCAGAGGCACCTTCCTCACAAAATGTAGTCCATGGTGGAGGAGCGGGAGGTGTGTTGATAGGTGGGCAAGCTATCCTTGCTCTCCCTGGGGACTTGTCCCCATGTGTAGAGAAAGCTCTTCCGAAATATGTCTGAGAGATGTTTCTTGAACTTCTCGCCCATGAACGCATAGATAATCGGGTTCACACAGCAATGTGTGAAGGAAATGGTTTCTGTGACATGAGTGGCATAGGTCAGCTGCTGGCTCATGGCACACCCATCCAAGATGTGCATGTTGTGCAGGGAAGTGAGGAAGAGGACAACATTGAATGGGACCCAGAAGATTAAAGATGCAGCGACCACCAGGAGCACCAACCTGATGGCCTTGGTCTTGTTATGGTTCTGGCAGTTCTTCAGCTGGTGTAGGATACTGGTGTAGCAGAATATGAGGACAGTAAATGGCAGCAGCAGGCCTATGATATTGATTTCAAAGTGGATGAAGATCTTCCACTTTGAAGCCTGTTGATCGTAATATGAGTAACACTGTAGCACGCCATCTTCAGAGTCCACTTGGTAAAACACCAGTAATGGGCTGGTCACCACGATGGCCGCCAGCCACACGGCCAGGCTCAGAGCCATGCCCCTTCTAGCTGTCCTCACTCTCACAGCATACACAGCGTGGACAATTGCCAGGTACCTGTCAACGCTCATGAGGGTGATAAAGAACATGCTGCTGAAGAAACCAATATAGTAAAAGCCAGAGACCATCTTGCACATTATGGTCCCAAACACCCACTGGTTCAGCTGATAGTGGGTCAGAAAAGGGAAGGAGAACACAAAAAGCAGGTCTGACAGGGCCAGGTTCAAGAGGTATATGTCTGTGATGCTCCTCAGCCTCTTGCAGGAGATGAGGACCAGGATGACGAGGCTGTTTCCCAGGAGACCAAGTATAAACAGAAGGCAGTAAATGACAGCAAGAAGCAACTTACTGTCTGTCTGGATCAGCTCTCCACTGCAGGGGCTTGAATTGGCATCGGGATAATAGTAGTCAGACATTGTCAAGTTGGGTTCAAGTGTGTAATCCATCAAGGCAGAAGGAACAGAAGCACCTGAACAGAGATTCAGCCCTTAAAAATATTTTTATTTGAAAACATGCCCTGAATCGTATCCCCTGACAAATTCGCTTAGCCAAATCACAAATTTGGTGGTGGGCTACATGTTTGTGTGTTTCCCTTCCTCACATCATTTGTTGAACCCCCCAAACCCTTGTGGTGGTATTAGTTGGCATAGCTTTTGGAAAGCAATTGGATTAGATGAGGTTATGGGGGCAGAACCCTCATGAAAGGGATGCATGCCCTTCTAAGAATCCCAAGAGCTTGCTTTCTCTCTGCACTCTCACCCTGCAAGATCCAATGAGAAGTCTGCAGTGGGCAGGCTGGGAGCAGGCCCTCACTGAACCCTGCCTGCACCCCTGCTCTCGGATGTCCCAACCTCCACAATTGTGAGAAATTAATTTTTGTTATTTACAAGTCGCCTGTTCTCTGATATTCTGATACAATAGCCCCAACAGACTAAGACAGCCCCCCCAATGCCGCTGTCCTTGGAGAGGAGCCATTGAGGAGGCAGTGAAGGGTCAGTGAGGTCACGAGAAAGGCCCTGTTCTAAGAGGCTGGGGTCCCCACAAAGAGAAGAGCCTGAGGAGCACGCAACTGTGACCTTTGTCCTATTTCTCACCCAAGCACTGAGGGGCCAGGTAAGCACAGAGCAGAGAGGAGGTTACAGGGTGGATGTCAGCCCAGAAGCCAAACCTGCTGACATCTACTTTTGGACCCTGAGCCTCCGGGACTGTGAGAGCATCGGGGGTGTTTCCTTAGCGCCGGCTGGTGTGTGTGGGGAGCCTATGGGAGCTGTGTTTTATACCCAAGTTTTCTATAACCCTGAAACATCTCTAATAAAAATCTATTTTTTTTTAAGTTTAAGACTGTCCAAGCTGACAAATACAAGAGAGTTGCATAGGGTCAGAAAAGCCAAAATTTACAAAGAAAACTTGAGTATCTGTAATTCCCCCTTTCAGGTAGCAACTGCTGCCAGATTGTCCTATTTGTTCTGGTTCTTTTTTCCTTCCTTCTTTTTTCCTCCCTCCATTCCTAGGCAGCAGAGATTAAATTAAGTTCCCTTTATTTATTTATTAAAATACTTATTTTTGGCCCTCCCTGGTGGCACAGCGGGTTAAAGCACAGCACTGAGAAGCTTAAGCCACTTCCGCATGAGTTTGATTCCCGCCTGCCCCGGAGGTGACCACATGGCGTGGCAGACCTCTCCTGACCTGCCCGCTGCTCCCCTCAGCAGTGTACTTCGTGGATCTGCCTGTTCTGCTCCCCACTCAGTCTCTGGTGAAGTCTCTCGCCACCCCTGAGTCTCTGGCCTGTATCCCAGTTCTGTATGTACAAATAAATAAATCTTTAAAAACAAATACTTATTTTTATTTATTTATGCAGGTAAGAACTGGGGTATAGATGGGAGGTGAGGAGGGTGAGAGGAGTCACCAGCAGCAGAGTGGGGAGAAGGACAGGTGGACAGGCTGAAATACACTGCTGAGGGAAGCAGCGGGCGGGTCAGGAGAGGTCTGCCGCGCCATGTGGTCACCTCGCGGCAGGCGGGGATCTAACTCATTCGGAAGCGGCTTTTAGATTCTCAGCGCTGTGCTTTAACCTGCTGCGCCACCAGGGAGGGCTGGGAATTCCTTTTTTTTTTTTTTAAATATTTATACATACAAGAACTGGGGTACAGGCCAGAGGTGTGGGGGTTGGATTCACCAGACAAGAGTGGGGAGCAGAACAGGTGGATATACTGAAATACACTGCTGAGGGGAGCAGTGGAAGAGACAGGAGAGGTCTGCTGTGTCATGTGGGCCAGCTCCCAGGCTTGGGGATCAAACGCAAGCTATGGCAGGTGTCGATATCTTGATAGTGCTGAGACTTTAAGCCCTTTGCCACCAGGGAGGTCCCTAAAGTTCCCTTTAACTATTCAACTTAGCCCACACTCTAGGAAGATCTATTAAACCAATTTCATATATCTCATTCCAAACTGTTTTCCTTTATACTTTTAGGTAGATAGATAGATAAATAATCTTTAAACAAATATATATTTCATGTTCACTTTTATCCTACATAAATGATACAGTATCACATCTCTCATTTCACATCTTGTTTTTTCTTCTCCCAGGATGTTATTTTAGAAATAAAATCACATGATTCTAACTTTAATTCATTCTTTTAACTGTTTTCGTAAGCAGTTTAATTAATTTTAAGATACAATAGAAGTAAGATCTCAATCATACTAGCAACAAAAATGATTGGAACTACTAGAAGCAAATGATTAAAAATTATCGTTCAAGTAAAAAAATTATAAAATTTTGTTGAGGACATCAAAGTATATGTAACAAAAAGGAAACATATACAATGTGGAAGGGAAGACTCAATATTTAAGACATAATTCTTCTCAAATTGATATATACATTCAAGGCAATTTCAATGCAGACTTAGAATTTTCCAAATCTGCTGGTCATGCAGATATCATTATCCATTTTGCCATCCACCTTTCTATAATTTGGGGTGCTAGGCAAGGTAGCCATTTTTAAAGATACTGACTTTGGGTGGTGAGCACAGAGTGGCATGTATAGTGGTCCAGGTGTGAAGCCATGCACCTGAAACATTATAAACCAATATAACCTCAACAAAAAATGCAAAAAAAGAAGAGAAGAATGTAAAAAAATAAAGATACCTATTCACTTTTAAGAATGTACCCAAAATAGGCTTTAAAAACATGGTGTGTGAGATATGGTGTTGGTCTTTCACTTGGGGGTGTGTGGCCAAACTCCCTCCTACCCCTTCCTTCCTACTTATCTTTGATAGTAATTTTGAAAAACAACTTTCAGGTCATCTTTTCCTGTTATAACCTCTTAATACTATGGAATAAGAGTTAGTCTCAATGCAGTCTCCTCCCCAGATCTTTCCTACTGACACCTAGCCCATACTCCCCCCACCACATATTCTTTTATCAGTAAGATCCACGGATAATATTAACAATATCTACCACTTGCTACAGCAGGCCAGGAATTTTAGGGGCATTTCTATATTTATTTCACTTGAAGCAAATATGAATATTCCTTTCTATTTCCTGGGTTACAATTATTCCTGGGGATGAGTTTCAGTCCCATACGTACAGTCAGGGGATTCAGCCAGGACTTGAAAGCTTGTCTATGGAGCCAAATGCTTCTTCTTTTTTAAGTTATTATTGTTGCTTTTAATGGGGAGAGTAAACAGCTTCAATCTTTTGACATCTAGGCTCCCTGATTTCCAAGTTTTATATTACTTTGTAGCACAGTAAAGCTGTAGTTTCCTTTTCTGAGAATGGAACTTTTCTAAGAATGGATCTGATGAGAATTGAGGGTGATCATTTAAATTAGCACCTAGCAAGAGAGGGATGTTTGCTTGCCAACTTTCCTCCTGAAAACAAAGCTCACATGTCCTTCGGTTATCTGAGAGAAACATTGTCCCTACCACAAGCACAGACACCTTTTCAGATGCTTGGTGATTTGAGAGGTCTTTTCCAATCTACCTGCCCCTCTCAGAGATGATTTGACCCTCTCCTTTAGAAAAAAAATGTCCTGGCTTGCTTCTAGTGGCCACTAGAAGCACCCACTAAACTTATGCAGGGTTTGTGAACTCTGGGGGCAAGCAAAGATCATATTTTTTAAAAATTACCTCTCAATTAAGACCTCTGATATATTGGCCTTCCATCTGTCTCTCCCCTAAAGACATAAAGTGTCCCTGCTACTTTTATGCCCCTACCCTTCTTCCCAAGGATGGCTGTTCACACTTACCTTAATTAGATCTTTTGTCCTGGATAGTTCGCAGTTGCTAAATCTCACATGTGTGCAGTTCAGAAGTGAATAACAGCTTCGCTGGAGATCTCTATCTGTGGTACATACCCAAATGGGTAGACCTACCACTGCATCCTATGGTTGCCTTTAAAACTGAAAAAAATTGATCACATTTGGATGACACATTGACACATGCAAGTCATGTCATTAAATTAGAATGACAACGGGATTATAAATTAAAGTGAGAAGACCACCACACACCTATCCAAGTGGTCACAGACAACGCCAAGTGCTGGTGAGGATGTAGACCCTCTCATTTATTGCTGGTAGAAATGTACAATCAAACAGTCACTTTCAAAAGACTGGCAATTTTTTTTTGAGTAAATTTAAGACTGTCAATTTCTTATAAAACAAGGATGGGGGCCTCCCTGGTCGGGGTAGGGGGGAAACACATGGCATGGCAGACCTCTCCTGACCACCGCTGATCCCCTCAGCAGTGTATTTCAGCACATCTGCCTGTTCTGTTCCCCGCTCTGTCTAATGGATCCTCTCATCGCCCCCTACCACCCCAGTTTTCGTATGCATAAATAAATAAAATCTTTTAAAAAAACAAGGATAGGGTTAGCATATAATCCAATGACCATGCTCCTGAGTATTTACTATGTGTGTTGAAAACATATCTATACAGATAAATGAACATGAATATTGATAGCAGCTTTACTCATAATGCAAAAAATTGGGAGAAATCAGGGCCTCCCTGGTGGTGTAATGGGTTAAAGTGCAGCACGACAAAGCTAGCCTCAGCTGCTTCAGTATGATTTCCATCCCAGCCAGGAGGGGGACCCACATGGCATAGCAGACCTCCCCTGTCTCACCCGCTGCTCCCCTCAGCAGTGTACTTCAGTAGATCTACCTGTTCTGCTCCCCACTCTGTCTCTGGTGAATCCTCTCATCGCCCTATACCTCTGGCCTGTACCCTACTTCTGCATAAATAAATAAATCTTAAAAAAAAATTGGAAGAATCAAGCGATGCTTCAAGAGCTGAATGGATAAACCCTGGTGAAATACACAGTAGAATATTATTCAGTGATTAAACAAGAGCTGTCAGGTCACAAAATGATGTACCAAGTGTAGATTGCTAAGTCTGCAAAGGCTATATACTAGATGATATATACTAGATGAAAAGGTAGAAGTATAGAGG